AGGTGCAACAACATGTTCAGAAAGATTCGGATTCCTTTTCAAAGTCCTCAGAACATCCTTCTACACTATTTTATTTATAGCGCCTGATTTTCGGCCAGATTCCGCCTTTCTCTCAATGCTGGCATTTTTTTTTGATATTTGGCAATAAATTTTGTACTGTTGACCTTCAAATTTTCAGCAATTTTACTAACCGACAATGGGAGATTAGATTTTGCATGAATTCGTCCAAAATCGATTTTCTTTGCTGAAGTTCTTTGTTCTCCACATGACTTATTTTTAAAGTTACGCATATGAAATTTAACTGTTATAAAAACAACGATTGCAAAATCAGCAGACTAAATAAATGGCTGATCGAGTAGTCGATAACAAAGTTGTGCTATGGATCTTATAATTATTCCTAAAACTTACAACAATCCGTCACCATGTCCTACGGCCTCACTAATCGAATCAACAATCTCAATGCACGAATTCAATTCGACAATTTCCACTATGTCGGGTAGCTCTCCCGGCCCGGATAAAATAACCTACTCCCTCCTAAAAAACCTTCCACATATCCTTAAACTCAGATTCCTATGCTTGTATAACAGAATTTTTGATAAAGGTACCCTTCCACAAGATTTGAATAAAGCTGCTGTTGTTCCTATCCCCAAACCTAACAAAAACAATCCTTCTGTCCCTAACTTAAGACCTATATCCTTAATACCCTGTATATATAAGGTGCTTGAAAACTTTATATCCGATATTTATGATAGGAGAAGGTCGGAGGGTCTCTTATTCCCAAAGGTAGACTTCCTTGCTAAATCCAGTGCAGTACATTCGTCAATGAAGTGAATGACTGATTGGGGGGCCGCGTTGCAATGGTGACAGCTTGGTTGATCGGTACCGTTAAAAATATGGCTGTGAGTTCTTGTAGTGTGGCCTATTCTAAGACGAGTGAACATCTTGATTTTGTGGCATGAGCAGTCTGATGGGTAGATAGGTTTTACACAGGTTGGATTTTCATCTCTGTAGTGGTGATGGTAACTATTCCAATCTCGTAGACGCATATGATCGCAAAATTTTTTATATGTTCTTTTATGTCTTTTGTAGTATAGTAAGGAAAGGACACCAGCGGCTCTCCATTACCTTCTTTTGCATGTTTATCTGCTATCTCATTGCCTTTCATACCAGCATGCCCTGGTACCCACATGACTTTTATGCTATTATCGCGACGGAAGAGTATATCGCGTATATTTTGTATTAGCCATGAGTTTGCTGAGTTTTGAAGTGCGTCAATCGTTGATGTACTATCGCTATGTTTTTTTCTTGTTGTTGAGGCATAAAGAACTGCTTCGTGAATTGCTGCAGTTTCTGCTGTAAAAACCGAGCATATGTTGGCAAAGCACCGACAATTATAGCGACACCCTGATCGTTTGACACTGCAAACGTGCTAGAAGTATCCGTTTTTGATCCGTCGGTATAAATGGGTTCCCATTCTGGTTTGTAAAACTAAATAGTCTCGTTGAAGAGCAGACAAATCTCGTCGGAGCTGGTTTTTAATTACTGGTATTTCGACAGAGTGTATAAAAGAAGGTTTTGGAGATAACCATTGTGGATGGTCAGGTTCGACAAGTAATTCGGGTGTTGATATTAAATTGAGATCATTGATCAGAGCTATGCATTGCATGAGAGCATACTGCTTGTTCTATGCATTCATCCTAATTGTAGACGTCTCGAGAATATTGAAGAGGGTTTTACTCCTATAGTGAAGAATCTTCGGTAGAAGCATCATGGTGTTATATGTAGGAGAGTGTGCTTTATCCTAACAGCAATTAATTAAAGAGTTCGATTGGTTATGCTCACAAGTACAATAACTTTATTTAAAGTAAATTTTAGTTTCTACATTCAAAACGCGTGTTGCTATCAAAGATGCCTTTACAATACAAGAAGTAAGAAAAACTTAGTGAGAGTAAAAACATATCGATAAATATATAAGTATGTCAGAGTTGCCAAGAGTATGCATGATGCATTTGAATGCTATTGACTCCAACATTATATTTAGTTCTTTGCTGAATGCTCAGCAGGCCTACTTCGGCTAAGACGGCTTTGACCGGAGACGTGGGGAAAGCGCGTATGACTCTTCTTACTGCTGTGTGGTAAGGCGCTTGGATGCACGCGAGGTGAGACTTTGCCCCGTGTCCATAAATCGCGAGTCCAAATTTAATTTTTGATAGCATCAGTGCTTTTACAATATTTACAAGATTTGACATATGTATGTGACAATACTTAGATGTTAAATATTTAACAATGTTTAGTCTACATATTAAATTAATTCTAACATATTTACAATGTTCCTTGTAAGTTAGCTTTTTATCAAAAATTAAATCAAGTATTCTGAGTGTATTAGTGTGAGGGATTTGAGCGTTAGAAAGTTATAGGGTCGGAAAGGTGGTTTTTTGCTTTCTGCAAATGTGGAAGGTTGAGCTTTTGTCAACTGAGATTTTACAACCAGACGTTTTCGCTCAATTGGTGATATCATCTAGAATACAGTAAAAC